AATTGTGACATGGTTTGTTCAACATAGCTTCTCTAATGCAATTTCGGTACATTAATTCTAAAGGGGCTATAAATTGAATCGATTCTGATTTTGTTAAAGTCTTTAAAAACAGCGTTACATTTTACTGAGCCAAATGCTTATCTTATAGTAAATATTCAAAATGCTTTCTATTTTGAAATCCAATATTTGCTACATTTTTTTTTGATTAGCAAGCAGAAGGAATGGATGCAATCAATACTTGGAGTCCCTGAGCAAAATGTATTTATTTCCCTTGTGAAAAATCTCTCTTGATACTTACGCTTCTTTCTCTTGCCACTGCTCTGTAGTTGTCTTGATATTGCCACAACCCTAGTCCACCTCATTATCAACTCTTTGCTGGGCCATTTCAACCTTTCACTCTTGCCTCTCCATCCCTTACCCCACACACAGTCATTCTCTACACAGCGGTGATCTTTTAAAATTGTGTATCCCATTAGGCCTGGACTTTGAAAACCTCCAATGGTTTTCTGCAGCAGAATAAAACGCAAACATCCTGCGTGGTTTAGAGAGCCCTGCTGAGCTGGCCCCTGCCTACCCCTCCAACCCATCTCCTCCTGCCTGCTTTCTGTCCATGCTGTTCCCAAAGTCCAATTTCACATTCTGTTCCGTGAGTACACCCACACCATTCTCCACCCTGGGTGCTCTGTTCTTGCTGTTCCTGCTACATAGAGCATTCCTTCCACATTGTTTCACATGATTGGCCTCATCATTTCTGTCTCCAATCACGCATCACCTCCTCAAAGAAGACTCTCCATCTTCCTAACCAAAGCAGCTCTGTCCTCTCCCAGTCATCGGTTTTATTTCATTCAGAACACTTATCCTTAGCACAAATAACCTCGTTCCTAAGTCTTCTGTCATGTTGCTAGAACGTCAGGACTTTTATGTATTGCATATAAAACTTAGATGCCTTCTTTACCCCTTTATCTACAGTGTACTGAAAGTGGAAGTTCAATACATTTAATAGAAAAATAAATTCCAATTGTGGTATCTTTGTAGATGATGTAGCTAAAACCCCAAGAGGCCAGAGCAACTTTAAACTATCACATAGGCCCTGGCCAGGTGGTTCAGTTGGTTGGAGCATTGTCCCATACACCAAAAGGTGGGAGGTTTGATTCCCGGTCAGGGCACATACCTGGGTTGCGGGTTCAATCTCCAGTTAGGGCCCGCATACGGGAGGCGACCAATTGATCTTTCTTTCTCTCACTCCTATGCCCCACTCCCCCTTTTCCCTCTCTCTAAAATCAATGAAACATATCCTTCGGTAGGGATTAAAAAAAAAATAAATAAATCAAAATAAACTGTCACAGATTTTCCCCTAGCTACTTAAGGAATGATGATTTTATTAGTCCTTTATTCCTTCATTCCTTAAATCACTCAGCCAATAAGTCATTTGTTTCTTTATTGAACTCATTAATCTAACTTTGTATAAAGTATTTATCCAATTATTCTCTATATATTTGACAATGTATATTATATAAAGGACACAGATTAGAATAGTCTCAAAAAATATACTGTCTTATTTGATGCCTGATAACAGAGGAGTAAAAGGTTTCTTTTTCCTGGAAAAGACTCTGATATACTGCTTTAAAAATATTAAATTACATATTTATAGATGCTTAGAGAGACATCCGTTGGGAAAATAGGAATGAAATGCAAGACTACAAACATGGCTAACTGAAATGAATTCATACATCAAGAGGTTATCAATGAAATTGAAGGCGAGTATAGATATAGGGAAAACAAAATAAATGATATTACAGAACTCAGAAAGTCTACTTAGACTTCCACTATATTATTTTTAATCTACCACTATAGGTAACTCAATGGAATCACCTAGTATTCTCCAGTGTGCAAATGGTAGAGGAGAGAAGAATAGGGGACTGATCAAGTTTTTTGGAAGGGCATGATCCTTTCTGTGGAGGGAAATATAATATATATATGTAGTATTTCTTGAGCAGCTATTATGTTCCAGGAATTATGTCAATTGCTTTATATGCATTATCACCTCACTTAACACTCATAATACCCCTGTAATTAGGTGCTATTAGTCCTACTTCAGATGAGGAAATGGAAGCAGAGAGGTAACTTGATCTATATCAGATCAGAGAGCAGTAAATGAAAGATGCTGGACTCAACTCAAGCTTAAGTCTGAAGCCTATGTGTATGAAACACGTAAAAACCCCATCCTGTTGATTTATCACATTTAAATGGGTTACTGCTGCTTTTCCATAATTGGATGTGCAATGCTAGGCACCAGAGAATAATTTAAGAGTTTTTGTTGTTGTTACTACCTTAACTCTAAAAGTAAATGGTTTGTTTAAAAACTAAAACTCCTCTTTTTTTTTTTTTTTTTCAGATTAAAACCTTGAAAGATCCTCACTGAAGTGTTGAATGAATTGTGGGATGTCCATACTCCAAAAATTTTGAAACATTAAAGTAAATGAGTTCCCTCGGTATGAATTGTCCTAGAAGGAAGGCCACGATACACTGTTAGGTGAACACTGCAACATGCAGAGGCAAAGGAGCTCCGTTTGGTATGTGAATGTGCACAGGAGTATGAAAAGATGTCCAAACTCCTAACACTGGTTATCTTGTTGGGTGGGAAATTATTTTTAATTTCATCTTTATAGTATGATTAATTATAATAAAGCATGGGTTATTTTTGTAGTTAATAATGAATTGAGTAAATTTTCTCAAAATTATTTATTTCTAAATATAATCTTCCTATAATTTTGAATAGTTTCTTTTATGATCTTGTTTCTAATCTTAACCCTTTTTTCCTTCAACCAAAGTACCATATATATATATTTTAATATAGTTTTTATTGATTTGGGAGAGAGGAAGGGAGAATAAGAGAGAAATAGAAACATCAATGAGAGAGAGTCATTGATCGGCTGCCTCCTGCAAGCCCCCCACTGGGGATCCAGCCCGCAACCCGGGCATGTGCCTTGGCCGGAAATCGAACCGTGATCTCCTGGATCACAGGTCAATGCTCAACCACTGAGGCATGCCGGCCAGGTAAAGTACCATATTTTTAATGTATTTTACACATTAAACTTCCAGTTAAGATTTCCATTGAATGAAAGATTCCCTACCTAGAAAAAACTTGAAAATCATTGGTCCACATCATCTGATTCAACAACAGCCACTGAATATGGGCATTTTCTCTTTGTACACTCATGAGATTATTAATAATACACACATATTTTATTCATGAGAAAATTCAGATTGCTCTTTATTATATTAGGTGCCATGTATATACAATTTAAAAATCAAATATGAACTAAGCTCGACTTATTTAACTTGAATGACCATTCTAATGATGGCATTGAGAAAAAGAATAGTAATCTGCAGTCCAGAGCTTTGGTACTGAAATCACCAGATTACTTTGAGTACATTCATTTGGTGTTCAGACACCATGAAAGGAAAATACTAGGCAACGATTTAAAACATTATCCTATTGCTCAAAAGGGCTCTAATGTAGCTGAAAATTGTCAGAGCTAGAAAGTATGTCTTCCCCAACCCTGAACTATCTTTTAGTTAGGAAATACATTCATAACAAGTACACTAGCTTTTCCTTACAGTCTATTGCAGAGTGACCAGAGACAACTTCGCTCAGTCTGCTGATTGAAACCCTAACAACAATTCCACAAAGGCGGATCATGACTGTATCGCAGCTGCAACACTACATTTATCAACTGCATGCCTTCCACGCCAAAACCTGGGCTGAGGATATCACAACCCTATGGTTAGCATAATTCGTGGTAAATTAAATTAAAGTCAACAGGCATTTACTGAGTAGTCGCTAGAGTTCAATGTACTCTGTGGGTTTTGTCAAACCCATAAAGAAGGGTAGAGCACAAAGTCTGCTTTCTAGGAACTTAAAAGTTAGTGAGGAAGATACACATAAAACCAACTCTGACATAAAGCACAATATAGTAAAGACAACATGCAGCAACAGTGAGAATATGAAGCTCAGGTGGTACAGGGAAGGGGCTGTTCATACTTAATTCTAGCTTGGGCAGCGAGAAGGCTGCTGGGAAGGGGTGACACTTTACCTGGGACTGGTGTAGAATAGGATTTGGCTGTATAGTGGGACACGGAGTGGGGAGGGACTTGCAGGGACAGCAGACGCGCGGATGGACAGTAAGGGTATTGCTTACATTACAAAAAAGTAAAAAGAGATAACGAAGGCAAAGGAGGTCAGACCCAGATCATGATTAAAATGGGTGCTTTAAGTCACCCAAAGTCTTGTTCATGAGTAATAACGAGAAGGGAGATGCTCTGGTGGAGCTCTCCTCCTTCCATATTACATGCATGCAGCATCCTTTCAACTTAACTAGAAGAAGGCAGGATTTTTTTAAGATCTGTAATTTAAAACAGATGTTTTATTACATTAGATTATATGGTCAGTTTTTTGGGGGAGGAGTAGTCATGAATTTTTTTAGCAAAATCAAGGAAATCAAGTAACCTCAAGGGTTAAGCTGCCTGGTTAGGGACCTTGGGGGCCAGCATAAAAATACCATTGTCCTGGGACAGAGGCGGGACTAGGGAAGGGACCACAAAAGAGAGCTGCCCAGACGGGCATTGCCGGATGACATATCAACACCAACTGGAGGGTTTCCATCTCCCCTCCACTTCTGAATCTCAGCCCCTGGGATTTATTTCTCCAAATGCAACATTAACATATAAACCAACATATTTTCTTTGAATAAATCCAAGCATCCAAATATACCTCTGTTCTTATTAAGGGAAACTCTCTACCAGTGAACTCATTTGCAGAACAGATGCAACATCCAGTCCCGAAGCTTCCGCATCCCTTCCGTTAGCCTGTCTCCTGGCCCGGCCTGGGAGCTCCATCTGTTCCCCGACGGGAGGGCCGGACCCCCGTTTCACAGGCGGCCTCCCCTGCGAGTCCCCCGACCCCCGGGCGCGCTGAGCCAGGCGCTCCTGAGACTCACCATCCGCACGCCGTTCTCAAAGGCCTGCCGGGTGAGCGGCGCCGGGCCGTCCACGGTCTTGCCGTCGTCGTCGGGGCCCCAGCTGGCGCTGTAGATGTGCACGTGCTGCGGGTTGAAGCTCACCGACTTCGCCTCGACCATGTCGGTGACATCGCCATCCAGCATCCGGACCCCTTCGAGAGACAGGGAGAAGCTGATCAGGCCTGCGCTACAGGACAGCCAAGTGACTCACCACTGAACTGCAGGTGGGGGAGAGAGACTGAGCTTTTAATCAACACTTGGGTGAGTATATTTCCCCAGGAAAAGATAACTTGGACTTTTCCGTGCTTTCTTGGGAAGAGAGGGAGTTACAGTGAATGTAAAAGAGCAAAACTTCTTTAAAAATCTTTTTTATCCATTGTTCTCTTTTCCTAGGTTTCCATAAGCTTTCCCTTCTCTTTATACCTGTTTAATTGAGTAGTTGACAAAGAGAGCCTCCAGCAATCCATCTTCCCGAAATTTCTCTTCATTAGATCACTTGTGTTCATAATTGGTATAAAACATTCTGACCTTAGCAGGCTCACAAAACTTGGAAAGCTGCCAAGTTAGGTTGGTCTAATTTCCTCCATACTCGATATTATCTCCTAATCTGTGAGACTGATGTGAATTTAATATATTACTTCTTTGCCAAGTTATTTATAAGTCAAATAATAAATGAGAATGCTTTCTGTGCATGTAACAGATCAAATAATTCTCAAAAGGTTTTAGCAATGTATGGTCATTAATCTTCATTTAAGTATATTCCCGCCAGACAGATAGGAATTTATTATTAACCTTAATTTGCAAAACCAGGCACAGATATTCAAAAATAAATTATATGTCAAATGCCAGGCTTTCCATTTTTCCCCCTTTTATTTTGGAGATGCACAACAACTAAATGCTAACATAAGTTCTTCAGCTTAAGCTAAATACCATCACTGAGACATTGGATTATTTCAAAAAGGTATCTCCACAGCCCAAATTTACTCCTTAGGAAAACGCTGTTATCTAGTAGGATTTCAAGTTTGTATTGATTACCACTAAATAGGGATTAAGTCATAAAACCCTAGATCAGGCAGCATTAGCTACTATGTGGCTTGAGGTGGGACTTTTGGTAGAAAATAAAAATATTCTTTAAGAAACTATACCTTCTTTGTGCTTTCAAAAGTGTTTAGCTTTTAAGTATAAAACTTAAAAACACAGAAAAGTAGAAAGAATGACAATAAACACAGATCTGTCTACTACTCAACAACTGATAACATTTTGACACATTTTCTTCATCTAAAAATATAAATATTGGGCTGAGCCATTTTAAGTTACATGGCAGACATGACACTCTATCCTTTCATATTTTTTACAAAAAAAATAATAGAAATAAATGCCCAGTCAATATTAAATTTCCCCCAAAGCATCCCTAAAGACATTGCATTTGGTTGTTCCATCTCGACTGTCTTTTCCTCTAGACTTTTGGACTTTTAAAGGAGATGTATGTGAACAGGTGATGTGGAGAACAAAGGGTGCAAACAGTCCCTTTCAAAGATAGGAAATGGGAACTCCATTCAGGACGTCTGTCAGCAGTTTCTGTGGGAACAGACTGCCCAGCGTGGTGCTCGCTCTGCATGTACTGGGTCCTAAGAAGCCAATGGTTTTCACTTGACATGAATATTCAAAACTCACCTGCATGGTTTTTACCAAAGAAAGATGAACTGCTTCATATTCTTACTTTCTATGTAAAAGCATGCAATGAAACTGTTTTACCGATATGAGGCCTGAAAACACTGGACTAGCCAGTATCTCTAAATGCCAAGATGCAGCAGATCTGCAAAACACCTGGATTCCGTTTCTACATCATGTGATTTAAGTGAAGTCCGCATGAGCACAAAATGTTGGATAAAATCATATCTAGAGGGTCGTATTAATTTTTTGATCAAAAACTGAGAAGTAGGAATTTTGTTTCCTCAAGTTTAAAGAGGAAAGGTTCCTTTTTCTCTGTTCAACTGCAAGCCTTCGTTCCTGGGGTGTGCGGGGTTAAATTTACAATTCAGAAAGTTCTTGTTTTCAGGATGACGGCACATTCGTGAGTCATTGCCATACATTCCTTTTTTACTGAGGTGCTTGTTCGGCCAGGTCAGCCAGCAGCTTATCTGTAAGGTTCACAAGTTCATCTCTTCATTCCCTCAAGGCCAGTGAGCGCTGGGTTAGTGCTGAAGAGTAACGACAGGGCCACGGACGTGTGTGTATGTGACAGACTGTGTGGCCTGGAGAGCAAGGAGGATTGACCAGGAGCCCCTACAGTCTGTCATTCTCTTGAGAAGGGCAGGGGCCTCCAGCATCCTCATGATTCCTCAGGGGAAGTCTCTGTCTCCTTTCCTAACTCCTCCCAGAACCTTCCCCTCGGCACACAGCACATGCTCTCAGAGTACAGCTAATTGCTGCGTGACAAGCCACCTCACTAAGGATTCAGGGTGAGATAAAGGAAAGAGACAGGTCAGATTTACTGAGGGCTGACATTCAAGGTAGTCTCTGAAAACCGTTTCTTAGCACTGTTATTGGATATCCCAAATATTTCATGTTACAAGACCCCTATATTTATTCTAGAAAGGACTGTCATTTTTATTTTTTTAGATCCAATCTTATTTATCATTTGGAAACAAATAGTGTATTGGTTCCAGGAACTTCATTAGTCTCATGACACCCTTTTAAGAGACCCCAGGGGACACCTTCAAAGCCAGTAGGATCTATACCATCTCTTACAATGTTTTCTTTCCATCTGCATGCGGCTGTGGCACCAGGCTATAACTAACAAAGGTGACTACAAATGGGAAAGTAAGAGTTTGTGTTTGTTAATGTCTGGATTTAAACTGCTGTGGTTGGGTCCTTGTAGTAAGCTTATGTATATTTGAGTTAGTGCATGAGTGTGCATATAATATGAAATTTTTAATGATAACAGTCTTACCACATTATGGGACTAAAATGGTAAAGTTTACCATTTTAATCGCAATTAAAAGGAAATTTTTATAAAACCTAAAGAAAGGAAAAGATATTCTACTTTAACAATTTCAAATTATTCTTTCCATAGAGATATTACTGCCTGGCCTGGTGTTTGTATTTTAGTTCTTTCTGACTCAGACACCAACTGTACAGTTCTGTACAGATGTCAATGACCCCCTTTTCAGTACTGGACAACCTTTTTTCAAGTATTGGGCTACACGGCCGGGATACTGCTTCTGAAGTCTTTAACTGTACGCGGCAGCACATGTTAACATGGTCATTTTGCTGTCAGCAAGAGCTGAACACTGTTGTGCAAACATATGCCTGTCTTTAGTTCAAAAAGGGCCCTGAAAACCAGTTAGCACAAGAGCTCTTGGCTCATTTCTGCATCCACGTAAGTTCGCTTCCCGTACCTCCGATCTTGGCGTTGAAAGCAATTCCGACTGTGCAGTGAGAGTTGTTCGCTGCAGCTGCCACTTCTCCAGCACAGCGGGTCCCGTGCCTGCGGGGAGAACACACACTTTCTCCAGTAAGAAGCTCCATTCTCACAAACTCAACACATCACCGCCACCACTCAGACTTCAAAGTGCTGAGGATGCATCGCGCTGGGGGTTTTCTGGAACTTCCAACCCAAGTGGTGCTTAATCTGTCCACGGAAAATTTTTAGCACTTAATTATATTCTGTTTTGGATTATATTCCTGATATGTTTATTTTTGATATCTTGCTTTCCCAACTAGAAAATTTCCTTGAAGGCTAAAATCAAATTGTATGTTCCTTAGCATTTTCTACAGTAACTCTATCAATATGGTAACCACCAGCCATAGATGGCCATTGCGTACTTAAAATGGGGCTAGTTTGACTTCATCTTAAAATTTTAATTTAATTAAATGAAAAACTAGTACTCAATTCAATTATTAGAAAACTCAAGAATGTCAGTATGAGACTCTACTTTTTAAACTATAAGTTTAAATATAGATCAAGTATCTCCAATGGAAATTTACCACCTAAAATGGCATTGCTGAAAATACACACTGGGTTTCAAAGATTTTATATGAAATAATAAGAACATGGAATATCCCATTAATAATTGTTTTATATAAAGGACATGCTGAAATATCTTATTTAATAAAATATATTTTCAAAAGTTATTTCACCTTTTTACTGCTTTAAAAAATGTGGCTACTAGAAAAGTAAACTTTTTTTTTTTCTGAAATATATTCCCTGTTATTTCTCACTGCAACAACTTAGTTCCTTGGTCAAAAAACTTTTTAGCTGAAAAGACTTCTAAGATAATCTTATCCAAGGATGGCAAAAAAGTTTCAAGCGTAAAGACAACCTGCTTAGAAAGGTGGCTTAACACAGCATGTGGAGAAGACTTCCAAGGCTGAGTCCAGAGAAAGAACACTGAGGCTGATGACTAGCATCTGCCATGGATGCAGAAGAGGGATGTGACAATCACTGTGGTCTCTTTGTCATTGTTAATGAAGTCCAATGCCCACCTCCCTCCCCTCATTTTTAGAGGAGGCCCTGATTTGTAAAGAGATCTGTCAAAAACAGCCAAAGAGTGACTGAAACTCAGGCGCCCCCCAATTCCATTTTAGTGCCTTTTATTTTACAGCACAGGTGCTTCAGACCACACTTACCATGGGATATGGCTACCGTCTGTGCAACTATAAACAAGTTACTGCTTACATCTGCTAGGTACACAGTTTACACAAAATATATTATACCTTGCTTTTTCCGCTCAGTAATGTCATGCATGTATTTCTATGTAAATATTAATCTATATATAATTTTAAAGGATAGTAATATACTACATAATCTTTCAAATTATATATATATGTTAAGTATATACACACACCATAGTCTCTTTAATAAGCCCTCTATTCCTCTATTTCTAGAAATTTGTCCAGTTTTTCACAAATATTAATAAGCTATAAAGAACAGCCTCGAGTATATATATATACTTTTATACCTGTGACAAATTCCTAGAAGTGGAATTACTGGATCAAAAAGTAGAGAATATATTGTCAAATTTAACAGCAGATGAAAGTAATATAACCAAACCTCATAAAAACTGCAAGATTAATAAATATTACTACAAGTCATCAAATTTTGTGCAAGGCAAAAAAAAAAAAAAAAGACCATAAGCCAAGTTGAATGACAACATGAAGAATGAAGAAAATATCTGGACAAACGCCTATGTACATAAATCCTTATGTATGAGTTTTTCAATCTTTTTCATTCTTGCCAATCTAACATGAAAAATGGTATCTGGTTATTGTTTCTCTTTTTATCCCCTATGACAACATATTTTTATTATTAGTTTTAATCCTCACCAAAGATATGTTTTTACTGATTTTTAGAGAGAAAGGAAGGGAGAAGAAGGGAGAGGGAAGGAGGGAAACATCAATATGAGAAGCACCGATCTGTTGCCTCCCGTATGCACCCCCACCAGGGATCGAACCTGCGACCTTTCAACTGAGCCCCCTGGCCAGGCCGTACTTTATCTATTTTAATTAATGCAAGTGCTACTTGGATTTTTGTTTTTAATTCTGCTCTAGTTTACTCTTTGGTCCATGGGTTATTTTACTTAGAAGTATGATTTAAATTTTCAAATGTATATGGGTGTTTTGTTTTTGGTATCAGTCAATAGCTTGATGACTTTGTGATCATAAGTTTTACGAAGCAATTGTTCGAATTTTGTCAGATTCACACATGGCTAAGTATGTGATCAATTTTTATAAATGTTCTGTATGCTTGAAAGGGTGTATATCATTCAATTGTTCTTTGTAAGTCCCTTATGTCAAGTTTGTTCATTATTGTGGATTTATTAATGTTCTTTGCAGATCTATTGATTTTTATTTTATTTAGAATGGAATTATGTCATCTACCTACTGACACAAACCATTTATAAATATGCAGTAACACTCTATGGCTCTAAGATAAAAATATCTGGTTAATATTTAAGTTTTCTACCTGTTTGCTCCTGTTATTTTCAAACATTTTGTGTTCTTATTAGTTGTATCTCTTAGAAGTAGAGTGTAATTGTTTTTTTCAAGCTAGGCTAGCTACCTTTGTCTTTAACCTGAGAGTTAGTCCATGTACTGTGACTGTATCTATTAACATTAGTCGTGTTCATTTCTGTATATTTTCTCCTTTACTAGTTTGGATGTTATATATTCTATTATTTAGTGATTATCCTAAGTGTTTGATTATGGGTACCTAACATCACAAAGTCGAGTCAGCAATACTTTTTTCAACTTTTCTCAAACAATATAGACTTCAGAATGTTTTAGCTCTGGGGTTACCCACCTCTTAACACTTGAGTTCCCCATGATTATAGTTATATTTTGGACTTTTTAAGGGAAGAAATTACCCATTACGACAACTACTTTAAAAAAATCAATGTTGGTTTAGATTTAAAAATACATTTTTTGCTCTCTTTCTTGTTGCTCATACTTTCTTATGAAATCATTGATTTCTTTCTGAAGAACATTTTATAAATGTAACCTTCAGAGAGTCCTTTGGAAGCCCAAAGTCTTTTGGTAGTCTTAGAAAATTACTCTATTTTACTGCCATTCTTGAAAAATAATTTCTTTGGGTATAGAATTCTAGACTAAAAGCACTTCAAAGATGCCATTCCACTGCCTCCTGGATCCCATTGTTTCTGGGGAGAAATTAGTCATTTTGGCAATCTAGTTCTCTCTGGATGCTTTTCAGATGTTTTCTTTGTCTTCTCTATCATACAGGTTCAATAAGTTTATATATGAATTAAAAAAAAAATTCTTTCTTGGAATTCCAAAGCCTGTAGTTTAATGTAACTAGTAGTCTAAGCTAGTATCTTTGAAATATGCTTTTACATTATTCTATAGTTCTTCCGATCAGAATCCCAATTAAACATATAATAGACCTTTTTACCGTATCTTAATCTTTAATCTCATCTTAAGTCTTTCCTATACTTCTCTCTCTGGGCTGCATTCTGGTAATTTGCTCAGTTCTATATTTCACTTATCCTGTCGTCAGCCATGATTAATCTGCTGTTTAATCCATTTACTGCCTCATTTCAATTATTACGTTTCATGTTTTGAAGTTCTTTTCCAAATGTGTCTGGTTAATTCTGATCTCTCTTTTCCTTAAAATACTTTCCAATATTCATTTTTTTCTTTTTGATTAAAGATTTTTAATTGATTTTTAGAGACAGGGAGAGGTGGAGGGACAGAGGGGGGAGAGGGGGAGAGAGGGAGAGAGGGAGAGAGAGAGAGAAAGAGAGAGAAACATCGGTGAGACATCAATAGGTTGCCTCCTGCACCCCAACCCTGGCATGCGCCCTGACTAGGAATAGAACCAGAAACCTTTTGGTGCATAAGACGACATCCAACCAACTGAGCCACACCAGCCAGGGCTCAATATTCATTTCTTGATACATATGAATTATATATAATAATTTGAAACTATGTGAATCTAATTCTGCTATTTGTTTCTGCTACTAGCTTGTTCTCATGGTGATGCTTTCCCCAGGTAGCTGGTAAACTGTCCATTTAGGAGGTCATGCTCTTTGGACTTTTACCTGTGCCAATTCTTTGAGGCTGGTATGGAAAACTCATTATTTTAAAGAAGATTTAAAATTTGCTTCTACCACTTATTGGGTGTACACCAACCAGGACCTGTTCAACCAAATTTAAAATTTGGCCCATACAAGTAATATGAATTACAAGTACAAATCTCAGTAGTTAGTAGTTCTTAAAAAGTAGTTATTCATCCTCTAGTCCCATCTGTTACCTAGGTTGAAAAGTAGAATATGTCCTCTGTCTCTCTGCATAGGTTCTCTCTCTCTCTTTTTAAATATAGTTAATGTACTGAAGATGGTGCCTCAGGGATTCTGTTTTATGCAGAAGTCTTCTCTTACCCCACTGGACCAAGGCTTGTCTTCAGCCATCCCTGGGATTTTAAAATCCAGCTCCAAGCTGGCTGGGATTGGTTGTTTACCCTGGAAAATGCCTAGTGATCACTTTTTGGACATCTAAATTTATAGGTTTGAGCTTTCTCAGAGAAACAGTCTTGGTGTCCCATTAGCTCAACCATGCACTAAAAAGTTCTTTAACATTTCCCCGGGGGGTTTCAGGTGTAGTGTAGCGGAAGATAATAGCTGACTATCTCTTCTACCATATTATTGAAAAATGGAGGAACTAACTGGTTTTTGTATTCCTAAAACACAATAAACCCCTGTACATGTTATGTGCATCATTAATATACAGTGAGTGCTCCTGAGTGAAGAACAGAGTGAGTAATTCCTTACAAAAACATTTCTTATAAAGATTTCTGTACATTGCTCCACATCCTAATGTATAAACCATTTTGGGGAAATAGGGAACTTATCACTCTACTGTTGATGCATATATTTTAAATATCGGATAAATAATATATTGCGGCATATGGTAATTGAAGACCGAAACTGCTAGCTCAACTACTTTAAATAGCCAGCTCTCCTCAGATGACAG